ATAATAAGCAGGACACCTTTCACCATCATGTTTCCTTACCCAACATATGAGCCACCTTCCTAGATGAAATTAATTTAATCTAGTTTCCTACCTCCAGCATTGACCTACCAGAAGAGGACATGAAAATAATAAACATCCTTCATCCAATGTCATGTTACAACCTTTCCGTTTGCTGAGGTATACAACATGGAAATTCTGGGAATTGTAATATACCACATTTAGAAGGCAACAGACTGAGGAAATCTCATATTTTATTTATGTGTTTGTTAGATTTTTATCTCACCTTTCTTCCAGGAGCTCAAAGTAGTAAATATAGCACCCCTTTCTCCTTCTCCATCCCAGACAATAACCCTGTGAGGTAGATTGGGCTGCGAGAGAGTGACTGGTCCAAAGTCGCCAAGTGAGCTTCTTTGGTTGAGAGGGGACTTGATCATAGGTCTCCATGCTATTTATTTTATTGCACTTTACTGCACTTTTCACTTGATTTTCCTGCAAGGAGTGTTTATACTTCTTTTCTTTATTCCCAGAATAATCCTAAGCAATAATGACTGGCTCAAGATCACTCTGTCATCTCAGTGACTGAGTGGAGATTTGAATTCTGGTCTCCCTAGTTTTAGTTTGACAGTCCAACCACAATGCCACAGTTTTTAAAGGAACTCTGCTGCTGAACATGGAGATTTATTTAATTTCTATCTTGTCTTTGAAACCCAGTTATCTTTGGCTAATTTTAAAAAAGTAAGCAAGGTTGGACCTAATTAGTACTTGGTTGGGAGAGTATTAGAGAATCCCATGGATTTAAACTGAGAAGTTGAAATAAAATCATAGAAGGCAATCACAAATAATTTTTCACATTATTGTGAAAAAGCCTATGAGGGAGTCTTTATCTGTACATGTTCCTGTCTTTCCTTCAGAAATTATGTGGGATACATAGTACTCACCATCCAATTTTCTCTTATAATAATCTTGTGAAGTCAGGTGGGCTGAGAGAGTGTAACTGGCTCAAAGTCACCTGGTGACTCCATAGCCAAATAGGAATATGAACCTGGTCTCTCAGTCCTTAACTGCTCGGCCTCATTGGCTCCATTAGCAATCCACTTACAGGTAGTGGTAAAACTATCCTCCATAAAACAGTCTATTTCCTTATTAAAGAGATTCTTACATCTGGTGACCCTGAGTTGTGAAAGTTTTTATATGTGGCTCGAAGAAGTTCTTTTCTTTCACCTGTCCTGGAGACATGGCTGGCCTATTTAACCATATACCTCTAAGTTCTCATATTAAAACTCAGTGGTTGTTTTTACTTTTACTCTGTTTTTTTTTTTTTGTCTTTATGTAGCCACTCACTTTCAGTTCTTTTTGCAGCTCACCAATAAATACAGTACAAAACAAGTAGAACTACACTTTTTCTTCCCATTTACTCCATGCTGTGTTTTTCAAAACTAAAAATGAAAGTTTTAAACTTTTCTTGCATTTGTTCCATAACTGTGGTATCCAGCTATTCAAAATCTGTACATTGTTTAAATGAAGGAATTGTATTTTGATATTCTAATTTCCCATCATTTCCTCATGTGTGTGTGTTGTGTGTGTGTGTGTGTGTGGTACAGAACTACACAGCAGTCATTTCTTTGTAGGTGCCATCACATCAGCCATACTATCCTGTATTGTATTTCTCTCTGATAGTTCTGTTCCTTTATCCCAATAGACACTGAACATTTTGGGATCACTGAGCATGTTTGAGCCTCACTGAAATATTTGGATTCTTTTTAGTCTGTTATGGCAAAAATATTATGTATTTCTGCAAACATTGGGGTTTCCCTGGACATGGTAATATCTTTTGAGTTATTTAAGAATGATACCATTTTGACTATGAAGAGTTAGCATTCACTCTGGAATATCACTAATATTGTGCATAATGTTGATACTGTCTCTATATCTGGAGGTTCCATTTAGCAATAAGTTTCTCCTCTTACTTGTCTAATTCTGTTTTCAAGCATCTAAATAATCAGCCGTGCTATGTTTTTAGATTTTGCTCAATTATTTGTGTGCTGCCTACTTGAACAACTAGGTGTCTTACAACTTCTATCTTGAGGCAACGAGTTCTATAAATATCTGCTGTGTGAGAAGTACATTTTGTTTGTACTGAATTTCCCTTCAATACATTTCATTAGATGGCTCTTGTTTTGTTGCAATATAAGGGGAGAGGGAATTTTCATATTATGCATTGTTTTATAAACCAACTTCATATTCTTGTTCAATCATCTTGTTTTAAGGCTAAAGGGAAACTAGGAATTGCTTTTTCTTACTAATAAATGCCATGGTTTGAATATGAGAATATACAGTTTTCCTTAAAAAGAAGCACCCACATCGGAAGTTTAAATTGGCATTATTTTAAAACTGTCCTTAATGTGGCCATAACGTTTGCATTACTAGGACATACTCTGGCACTTCCAAATCCTCTCCCAAATTAACTGCTTATTGTATGACATTAAAAGCAAGGAGATTAAAATGTGTTTTTTCATTCCCTATATATGGCTAATGGCCCTGTAATTTGTAACTTTTCTCTTTACACAATGACTAATTAAATTCTTGAAGTCCCTTTGCAAAGAATAGGGGTCCAAGTATCAGTATTCCCAATGGTTGGCTTTTACCTTCTCATCCCCATATATTTAACCTTTGAAAGACAGAGCTGATCCATTATTATAAGCTGCTGCTAATATGCTAGATTGGCCTGTACCAAGCTGACATGTGCTGCAATATCCTGGCATCACGTTGCCCAAAATTCCCAGCCAGCCATTGGCAATGCTAGTTGGACACTCTATAGTCCCAATCTTCTGGAGGCTCCAGACTGGGGAAAACTGTAATTCATGAGTCCTGCCAGTTATCTTGGCTGCTTTGTGATTTTTCAAGTCAAATTTAGCATAACATTTATGTTTGATCCACA